GCCAGAATCCTCTTGGGATTTTGCTGCGGAGTAAGCAAAACCACATATCTCAGGGCAAACGATTACAACTAATTAACAAGAAGCTGGTCCCACGCTTAGGGTGTGATCTAACAGCAACGTTGGATCGCACTAGAGAGCGTTGCTTCCCTGGGTGTGATCTTTGAAGAGATCCTACTGTCCGCACGTGATCCCTTCCCGAGGAGCCCTGCCACTGGACCAGAAAGATCCGGATCGGGCCCAAAGCAGGGTTAGGCTGCTTTGCCGTCTCAGGTGTGCTCCCCGAGAACTTGAACCAGGCAGTTCAAAAAGCGAGCAAGTCGTTGGCTGATTGCCGCCGGAGCCGAGCATCTTGCATGCAACCCTAAGACCTTCCTCCATGACTAACAGGATTCCGCGTCCTCTGGAGTAAAATTCCTAGAGCATTCTGGCCTTTGCGTGTGTTTTCTCTCCATGCTTCTCAAAGCAACTGTCTTGAGTCCACTTCCTGGGAGGAAGGGGGGATCCTAGCTCAAATAACAAACTAAAGAAGGGTGCGATCAGAGGGGGAAAGAGCTCACGTCTTGGACTGCCTGCGGTGCAGATCAGCCCAAGCTATTTCACAGTGATCACATGCGGAATGGGCAGTGGTGCTCCACTCTCGCGCCGATCCATGCCCAGTTGGGGCCTTTTTTGGTCCATCAACAAGGCCTTTATGGGGCTGGCCCGGAGTGATTCCCAAATGGATGGAAGATTGGTGCCAGCAAAGCCATCGGGCACGATCCTTGCTTACAGACTGATCACGCTCGTAAGTCTTTCCCCAGGCAAATAAACAAAATATCCAGGCTTGGTTGAGTTTAGCTCTAAAAACAGGCTGTTGCTCTTCCTCTCCTGCCCCCCCCCTCAATAATTGGTGTTAAGTGCTGCCAGGTCACCTCCTATTGACGTTGACCCTGTGAACGAGTCATCTCCGAAATGTCTTGTCCTCAACAGCCCTGCTCGGCAGGCTGTTGCTCTTTCTCTCCTGCCCCCTCTCAATAATTGGTGTTAGGTGCTGCCATGTCACCTCCTACTGACGGTGACCCTGTGAACGAGTCATCTCCAAAATGTCTTGTCCCCAACAGCCCTGCTCGGCTCATGTAAAACAGAAGGCTGTGGTTTCTTTTAGGGAGTCAACCCATCTCATATTTGATGGTCCTCTTTTCCTGCTGCTTTCAACACTTCCAAGCATTATTTTCTTTCCCTTGTGAATCGTGTCTTCTCATGATGCGTCCAAAGTATGACGGCCTCAGTTTCCTCATTTTTGCCTCTGCAAATCGTTCAGGCTTAATTTGATCTAGGACCCACTTATTCATCTTTCTGGAAGCCCAGCAAATCCACATAGCTTTTCTTTAGCACCAAATTTTAAGCAAAACAATGTTCTCCTCTCAGCTTTCTTCACTGTCCAGCTTTCACACTCGTACCTGGTGATCAGAAATACGAGAGTGTGGATGATCTTGGTCTCCAGGGACACATCCTTACACTTGATAATCTTTTCTACTTCCTTTATTGTTCCCCTTCTGAGTCTCAGTCTGCTTCTGATTTCTTGGCTGGGATCTCCATTTAGACTGATGATTGAACCAAGATATACCAGATTGTTTACTCTTTCAATTTTTTCTCCATCAGCATTAAAGTAGTGCAGTTCTTCTATAGTCCTGATTTTGGTCGTCTTAATGTTCAACCACAGTCCTGCTTTGGCACTTCCTGAAGTTCACAAAAAGTTGTTTCAAGTCATTGCTGCTTTCTGCCAGCGAGATGGTGTCATCGGCATATCTGAAATCATTGATGTTTTTTCACTCCTCCTCCATCCGAATCTGATCCAGCTTTCTGTATATTCTGTTCTGTGAATAAATTGAACAGATAGGGAGATAAAATGCACATGTCTGACCTCTTTGGCTATAGGAAACGAGTCTGTCTCTTCCTATTATGCCCTAACAGTTGCTCCTAGTCTACAATACAAGTTACACATCAGGACAATCAAATGCCTTTTTCTTTCAAAACAATCCACAGCTTCTCATCCCCCTTTTTCTTTCAAAACAATCCATAGCTTCTCATGAGCCACACAAAGGCTTTGCTTTATAAAGAATAGACTATCTTCTGAAATTATTTGGTGCGCTCCAGTAGCTTTATAAAGCATAGACTATCTTCTTCTGTAATTATTTGGTGCGCTCCAGTAGCCAGTGGATATTTGCAATATGATCTTGAGTGTTTCATCGTTTTCAGAATCCAGCTTGAATATCAGGCATTTCTCATAAGGTAATATGCTTTGTATCCTCGAAGACATAACATAATATACGTTATTGTAACAACTTGGCCATCACTTAGCTTGCATGACATAGACTATCTTCTTCTGTAATTATTTGGTGCGCTCCAGTAGCCAGTGGATATTTGCAATATGATCTTGAGTGTTTCATCGTTTTCAGAATCCAGCTTGAATATCAGGCATTTCTCATAAGGTAATATGCTTTGTATCCTCGAAGACATAACATAATATACGTTATTGTAACAACTTGGCCATCACTTAGCTTGCATGAGAAATGAGAGCAATAGTCCTATAATTACTGTGGTGTCTCCTTTATTGGGGACTGGAATGTATATTCAACATTTCCATTCTGTGGGCCATTGTTTTGTTTTCCATATTTGTTGGCACATTCTTGTTAGGATTTTGACAGATTCAGCCTCTGTGGATTGAAATAGTTCTGTCGGTTTCCCATCTACCCCCGTTGATTCATTTCTTCCTGAAGCTTTCAGAGCTATTTTTTCTAGAATTGCAGGTCCTCCTCAAAATAATCTATCATCCTTTTATCTCCTCTGTATAGGTCTTAATATACTTTTCCACATTTTCTTTCTTTTCTTCTTGTCAGATACTGTGCTTCTCTATTGCCCTTTCAGCATTCCTAATATAGACTTAAATTTCCATTTGATTTCTTCAGTCTTCTGGAAGAAAGCTCTTGTTTTTCCTCTTTTGTTGTTCTCCTCTAGTACTTTACACTGGCCATCATAATAGTTCTCTATGTCCCTACATGAGAATCAGTGAAAAGCTGCATTTAGGATTCTGGCCTTATTTCTGTCATCTTTTACTTTTGCTTCTTACCTGTCCTTAAATATTGAGGGTTTTTTTTAAACTTTTTTTTATTACTAAATAGCTCCCATTTCAATGCACAATTCTTCTGGTTCACAGTCAACTGGGTTTAGTAATGCAAATCTTTTATGTATGTGGACTTTAAATTCATCACAAATATTGCTGAAATTATATTTTGGTACTAGGATTGTTTTAGTGCTCTTCAGCAATATGTTTGATATTAACTATTTAGCATCTGTATCACAATATGTTCCTGGTGTTGTTTGGCAGAGAGAATACAGCTTCTTCATCTCCTGCTTCCAGTTACATAGTCTATCTGATTTCTATATTGGTTATCTGGTGATGTCCACATGTCTAGTCATCTGCTTGAAGCATGTATCTGTGATAAACAAATTGTTGGCTTCACAGAATTCTCTGAGTTGTTCTACTGCTCCATTTCTGGTCCCTATGCCAAATTTTCCAACAACATTTGTTTCCACATCGTTTCCTACTTTTACGTTTCAATCACCTATGCTTATAAGCCTGTCTCGTTCTGGTGTGTGATCAGATTTCCTCCAGGATGCTTGCATAAAAGCTTTCAATTTCATCTTCTTTAGCATCTGGTGTTGGAGCATAGACTTGAATGTTGATTATGTTCATAGATTTCCCCACAAGCGTGATGAGTATTACCGTATTTTTCCGTGTATAAGACACCTCCATGTATAAGACTTTTCTAACCCAAAATTAAGAAATCTAAGTGGGACTTAGCAAATGTAGGGGTGAAGGGATCAAAACACTGCAGGGTCGCTTTGATCCCTGCTTTCCCCTCCACTTGTTTTTTCTCTCTTCAGCTTACTTCCGTGTATAAGACAACCCTCAATTTTTAATCTAAAGATTTTAGACAAATACATAGTCTTATACAGTGGTGCCTCGCTTAACGAGCGCACCGTATAATGACGAAATCGCATAGCGATCCGTTTTTTTATCGCTAATGCGATCGCTTACCGATGGGTCCTATGGCCGAAAATCGCTTTACGAAGATCGGTAAGCGTTTCGCTTACCGATCTTCGCAAAACGAAGCCCCGACGATCAGCTGTTCGGCGGACAAAATGGCCGCTGGAAGCTCCGTAATGGCCACGCGCAGCGTTTTCGCGCCCTCCCCTCGCTTAACGAGGGCACGAAAATGGCTGCCGGCCATAGGAAACCTCGCTGAACGGTGAGTAAAGGAGCCTTTTGGAATGCATTAAACGATGTTTAATGTGTTCCAATGGCTTTCCCTGTCCCATTCAGCGATGTTTCGCTGTAGCGAATGTTAATCCGGAACAGATTAACCTCGCTATGCGAGGCACCACTGTACGTGGAAAAATATGGTATTTGGTTGAACCTTATATTGGTAGCCCCTAACTCCCTGGAATACACCTTGCCTTTAGAGTTACCACATTGCTTTTGAACTTGTCATTTCCAGAGTAGAGCACTTTGTAGTTGCCTGACTGAAAACATCCCAGTCCAGTCCACTTTAGTTCACTGATACCAGGCACTACAATGTTGATAGTTACTTCTAATAAATTCCTTTTTGCAGTAACTGAGATGTAACCAAGTTACATAACAGCTATTATATAATGAGCCATGACTTAACTTCTTTTTATAGACAGTTCCAGGAAAAGTGTGATCTCTCTTGTATTACCAGCCAGTGTTTATAGCATTCTAATAATGTATTTAAAAGTAATTATTTTTGTTATTTTTTTCAATAACAAGAAAGTAAAGAAATTTGTTTCTTTAAAATGGACTGTAATGCTAACTAACGTCCTGGGCTGGGGGCTGTAACTGTAACTGATTACTTTGTGGAAGTAACTCCCCCAACTCTGTTCTCTCAGATCAATTTCTCCAGCAGCACTCAGCGCTGTTCTCTTTTCACCTCCCTCAGTGTCCCAGCCGACAACGTCAGACGAAATAGTTGTTGCAGGATCCAAGGTGATTCTCCGGTGTGAGGTGGAAGATCCTGACGATTCTTCACTGCAGTGGTCTAATCCAGCCCAGCAGACACTCTACTTTGGGGAGAAGCGAGGTAAGACCTTGTTGCTAAGAAGCCGGCATTTATTTTCCAAATTCTCAGTAGAGGATTCACGAAGAAAGAGAAGCGTCTTAAGTGCATTTGTATACAGTTTGCAGATGCTAATTTAAAATAATTGTGCATATTTTAAAATAATTGCTGTGATTTCAATAGAAGTTGATTTCGTCTTGTGAGGGTGGGGCGGGCCAGGACGGACAAGGCAGGCTGCTGTTCGAGCTGCTTTCTGCCTTAGCGCAAGCTTCCACACAGTCTTCAGGGGCTGCCCCACACAGAGCACTTTACAGTAGTCTATCCAGAAATAAATAAATCACCCCGGCGATGGCTGGGACAAATCTGTGCTTTAATCCTTTCATTTGTCACAGGGTGTCACTTCAGAACGGGCGGCCTCTTGAATCTGTGACACATTTCATGCCGCCTCCCTCCGCACGCACGCTGCCAGATCACAGTTTCATTGCCTCTAATGGCCTATCCTTGCTCATGGCAGGCGGCTGTCATGATGGGATTTCCTAGGGAGTTGATAAGTGAGAATCTACCTTTTGCAGCTTTCCCCTCTCTCTGGATCTTTATACCACCATGAGGTCTAGTAACATGGTGGGCTTAAAGGAAAAAAAACAGAAATCAGAGGTCCCCACCCCACCCCAAATATTTTGCAGGTTCTGCATTAAGCATACATCAACACCTGCTTTTGAGGTGGTTATTACAAATGTGCAGAATATTCACACCTGTTCCTTCGGTCACTTTCACCTTTCCTCTAGCATTACGAGACCTTAGAATCCAGCTGGAGAAGTCGACGCCCAACGAGCTGACCATCAGTATTGACAATGCGACGCTGGCCGACGAGGGAGAATACACCTGCTCCATCTTCACGATGCCAGTGCGGACTGCGAAGGCCATTGTCACTGTGTTGGGTGAGCCAAGGGAGGAGGAATGGAGGGCAGAGCCCAGCCCTGAAGGCCGTGGCCAATTTTGGGGTGCTAGGGCTCACCGTAACAGTCCTGTAGGCAATCAGCTCCCCTGTGAGAGTCAGAATCTGCAGGCAGCTGGATCTCGGTCCCTATCAGCAAAGGAGGAGCAGATCTTTGGAAGGCTAAGGGCTCTGAATTGCCTTTCATGACAGAGTGCTCGCCAATACTTTTCATTTCAACAGGGATAACTGTCAGGCATAAAAGAAAGTGGGAAGCTGAGCACATTTCTCGATAAGCAGGGGGTTGCCTGCTTAAATAAGCTTCTTTCCGTGCTTGATCCTTCTGCTGCCTTGATGCTCTGAGCCAGGCTGCAAAGCCCAAGGAAAGCCAATGAGATGATGGCCTGCTGGCATGCAACATACAGGCTAGAACAGTTGTCGTCCACCGCCAATTCTTCATGCAAGTCACTAGTCCTCAGTGCTCACGTTTCCTCCCTTTCTTGCAGGAATCCCGCAGAAGCCCCAGATCTCCGGCTACGTGGCTCCTCTCAAGGATGGCGATACAGCCAAGCTGATGTGTATGTCTTCGGGGAGCAAGCCCGCTGCTGACCTCCGGTGGCACAAGGGTGACAAACCCTTGCAAAGTAGGTGATGGTGGGAAATGGATGCCGTGGGGACTACAGTTCCCATTATCCCTTAGGAGTACTCGTGCTGAGAGGGGATTCCCTTGAATTGAAAAAAAACAAACCCATAGCCATTCAGGATCGTAACGAAATGGATGCTGTGGGGACTACAGTTCCCATTATCTCTTAGGAGTACTCGTGCTGGGAGGGGATTCCCTTGAATTGAAAAACAAACAAACCCATAGCCATTCAGGATCGTAATACAGTGGTGCCTCGCTAGACGATTACCTTGCAAAACATTTTATTCCCAAGACAATGAGTTTTTGCGATCGCTATAGCGCTTCGCAAAACCATTTTCTTTATGGGTGATTTTCGCTGGACGATGTTTCAGTCCGTGCTTCACAAGACTTTTTTTCGGGACCGTTTTTCGGAAGACGACGATTTTGACAGCTGATCCACGCTTCGCAAAATGGTTTGTCTATGGGCGATTTTCGAAACACGACGACAACTGTTTTCCCCATTGGAATGCATTAAATGGATTTCAATGCATTCCAATGGGGAACTGCTTTTCGCAAGACGATGTTTTTGCAAAACAGCAATTTTTGCTGAACGAATTTACATCGTCTTGCAAGGCACCACTGTACCTCTCTTTTACTCTCGGCCTGATGATCAGCCATAAACACACAAGGTGGCCAAAGTAAATTTTAGCTTTACATCTCCCAAGAGCTCCCCAGCTAGGAGCGTTGTGTTAGACCCTGCCATTCCTTTTGAAACCAGCGTCATTTGGCTTCTTAGTGATATACCTGACTATCTGGTTTCTCTGTTTTGCCCTTCCTGCAGCCTCTGTGCCATCTTCAAGGGCAGCCCCCCTCCCCCCGAAAGAACATGGACAGTCGAAGGGAACCCTCAAGCGATACCCCAGAAATTCTTCCATTTTATTCATTTATTTTATTAATCTTTTTTCACTTCTAGACGACCCCATTAGTGCATTTGCTCTCTGGACGGTTCACAGCTCGCAATAAAAAACACTGTGTAATAAATATAATAAAAATACACTGAAGTACAATAAACCCTGTTGCTAGCTAAAACAATGAACCCACCTTTAAATAGACATGTGCCCCTTATAAGCCATCTGAGCGTCACAGATCAGTGTTTACCACTAGTAGAAGGCAGCTTTATATGATTCTGTCTTGATTAGCTTCCTAAAAACTGAAACCGATCACGCGCATCTGGTTTCCAGATAATAGCCCTGACTTACCTAGAAAGCAAGAAAGGAATAGAAAAGGTGGAAATGAGGTACCTTTAATTCAATAGTTCCCAACCTTAGGCACCCAGATGGTCTTGGACTAAAACTCCCAGAAGCCTCCACTGGTTGTAGTTCCCAACCTTAGGCGCCCAGATGGTCTTGGACTAAAACTCACAGAAGCCTCCACTGGTTGCTGTGCTGGCAAGGATTTATGGGAGTTGTAGCCTTAAGAACATCTGGGTCACAGGTGTAATTCATCTGTCAATTATGCAAGAGGCCAGAGGTTGATTGGCAGGTCTAACTCCGCAAGGTTAGGAACCACTGCTTTAATTGGAGCTCTGGATCTTCAGGGAATGGCTATGAAGCCATGGGTGTAATTCATTTGTTAATTATGTAAGAGGCCAGAGGTTGATTGGCAGGTCTAACCAGACAGTGGCAAGTCCAGAATGGCTCAAGAGGACCGAGATTGGCTAAAATGGCAAAACATGTTGATTATGACCTTGAGTCCTTCGTCTTGGTCCTTGTTGGCAAGCATCGCGATTTCTGGCTCTTCCAGTTGCTTGATTCTTTGGAACAGATCGTTAACCCAATTATGATCAATATTCCTTGCCTTGTCTCTTCCAACAGGTGAACCGTTGGTAGTAGAAGAAGATGCCAATGGGAAGACGTTCACCGTCACCAGCCGTGTCGAATTTTCCGTGGGGAAAGAAGACGACGGAGCAGAGGTCACCTGTACGGTCGATCACGCGTCGCTCCAGAACTCCGACAAATCCACCTCCCAGCGGATATCCGTGTTCTGTATGTGATTTTGGGCTGTCGGGCGAGGCAGGGTACAGGTTAGACCAGAGGTGGGCAAAAGGGCAGCTTTACAGATATCCTTGGGCTTCCTCTCCCGCCAGCCTTAGTCAGCAAAGCCAGTGGAGAGGAATGATGGGAGCTGTAGTCCGGCAAACCTTGGAGAGCCATAAATTGCCCATCACTGGTGAAGCCAATGTTAGATGAGGATGCTAGAACTCAACATTGAGGGTACATAGCTCAGTGAGTAGAGTGTATAATACACACAAAAACATTTCCTATGTTCTGCTTGGCTTTCTTGTGGCATTACTAGGACTCTGATATCCATCAAGTGGAATCAAGTCCCAAATAAGTGCAGTGAAGGAACATGAAGGTATTTCTGAGCCTGGGAATTTGTGGTGTCTAACAGAACCAGGCTTATAGTTCCTGCCAAACAAAAAGCTTCTCTTGGTTTTCCCCTCCAGCATTCTTCCTTTGAACAACCACAATTTAAGACAACATTTTAGCCAAGGCTACTGCTAAACAAATGGGAAATCTCTGTCGATCTACTATAAATCTTACCTGTTTCTTTATTAATATCTGAAATAAATACGTCACACAGAAATTTATTTATCTTAAATCTTTATATTCCACTACGGGGGTGGGGAACCCCTTGGCATCCCAGATGTTTGGCGGACTACAACTTCCGTGGTCTTTTATCATTGACAGAATAGGCTAGGGATTCCACGAATTGCAGACCTAAACATCTAGAGGGCCCGGATCTCATGATAAAGTGCAATAAACAATATAAAACAATTCAATGTTTCAAAAACATCAAAAACCTGGAAGCCTCCACAGGCTATTAGAACCATGATCTATAATCCCAAAAAGCTTTGTTTTATCTTGGCACTGTCGTGAGATTCGTGTTGGCACCAATTGAGCTTCCGAGGCAGTAGCTCCCAAACTTTGGACTGCCAGATATTCTTGGAGTTACGATTTCTACAAATTCTGGCCAGCCGAGCGAGGGAGAGTTCTAGTCCAAGAACATCAGGAGGACCCAAAGTTGGAAACCATTGATTTAGCGGATCATTCCCCCTGGCGGGACAGAAAGAAGATTTGCTGCTCAGCAAATCGTAGTGATCAGGGAGGTGTATATACGAAAAGGTCTTCCCTCAAATATCCAGGTTCGAAGCCATTTAGAGTTTTTTAGATGATTACCAAACATATGGAACTTGAACTGGAAGCATATTGCTAACCAGTGTCATATGAGCTATGAAAAGTGTTCTTGCCAAAAAGTATTCCTGAAGTGTAGAGGGTAAGAATACATGTCAACCAGTGCCCGGACATTAAAGCTAGCACTGAATCATAGAATAAATGAGCTGGAAGGAGCCTATAAGAGCATTGTCTCCACCTTTGAAGTACTCACCACTTCCCGAGGTAATTGGTTCCACATATCCATCTAGTTTCCTTTTGAAGGTCTCCACCTTTGAAGTACTCACCATCTCCCGAGGTAATTGGTTCCATTGTCATACTTTCTAACAGTTAGGAAGTTTTTTTCCTGATCGTCAACCAAAATCTGGCTTTCTGTAACTTCAGCCCATTATTACATGGGTCCTGCGCTCTGGAATGACTGAGGTCAGATCCTCCCCTTCTTCTGAACGGCCACCTTTCAAGTATTTGAAGAGCGTTACCCTCTCTCAACTCAATCCTCTTTTCTTAAGGCCCAGTTTTCCCTCATAGGGTTTGCACGAGAAAATCTTTTCTGTCCCTCCCGTTGCTCTGAGATTTGTCTCTCCACCCAGAGACCTGGGGAAACGTAGGAAATCCCTAAGGCTTCATTTGGCAGCTTGAGTGGAGAAGGAACATCTTGAGAACTTCGGTGGGGAATTGGCTCCCATCGTTACTCGTGACTATGGTGGTCATTGCCTTACGTTTCTCAGTTTTCCTGTTCTTTATTGGTCCTGTCCTTTTTGTCTCGCTGTCTTTCTCTCTCCAGACAAGCCAACAGCTAGAATTGAACCAAAACCGGACCATCCACGAGAAGGACAAGATTTGGAACTTCATTGCGATGGTCAAGGCAACCCAGTGTAAGTCCTTCCTGCCCCAGGAAACACACACTCTCTGCTACACAATCTACACAACCCCTCAAATGACCCCTTGTAACCGTGTCTTTCCATCAGCAAGCAGCTCTTTCTGTTAGTGGTGAAATGAATGATCTACAGTGGTGCCTCGCTAGATGATGATAATCCGTTCCACTGAAATCGCTGTTTAGCGAAATCATCGTCTAGCAAAAAGCATTTCCCCATTGGAATGCATTGAAACCTGTTTAATGCGTTCCAATGGGGAAGAATCGTCGTTGTCTAGCGAAGATCGGCCATAGGAAAGCCGCTTCGCAAACCACTGATTAGCTGTTTAAATAGCTGTCTTGCGAAGCTTAGGTCCCGAAAACGCCCGTTTCGCGAGCACGGAGGGAGCTGTCAAAATCATTGTCTAGCGAAAATCAGTTTGCGAAGCAGGGAACAAACATTGTCCAGCGAAATTCCCCCATAGGAATCACTGTTTTGTGAATCGCTATAGCGATCGCAAAAAGCCAATGTCTAGCGAAAAAAACTGTCATGCGGGGTAACTGTCTAGCAAGGCACCACTGTACATTCAATTTTGACTTCTGATTTCAACCTAATCTGTACTATCCTGATATTTTTCATTAAAACAATACTTACATAATGGAAACCATTCATTATTGTTAGAGACTGTTTTAAAAGTCAAGCTGCTGTTGTTCCAAGCTGGTTTTCAAAAAGTGGTCATCTGTTTTAACTTTTTTTGTTTTAAGGGCTGTGCTATTTTTAGACCCAGATGGCAGTTTTATTGATTTATTTTAAAAAAATATCAGCTACGTTTTATTGTTTGGTTATGAAGCACCTGGAGAAAGGGTTTTTCCTCCAAAGCCAGCAAGTAAATATTTGAAGAACGTAAACAGAAATAAATAAAGGGCTCGGGGTTGCGTAGGGCCTGCGCGTTGTGATCAAGCCATTCTTCTTTGGTGGAAGGGAGATTTGTGCTGTTTTTGCCATTTTGGCGAAAGAAATAATGTTTGTGGAATTGTTTCTCTTGGGGGAAAAACCACATGGTTTTGTTTTTTTCTTATAATGGGAGGAACTGAAGAGAAAGATTTTGTTTAGCAACCCATCGGGTGTCTGTGTTTTCAGAAAGTAATGCCAAAAAGCTCTCAAGCTAAACTTTATAGCCATAAGAGCGTGTTTAAAAAAAAATTAATATTGACGTTTTCAACAAGGTGGATTCTGTGACAAAAGTTACAATATTTGCTTTTTCTTCCCCCTGTCAGGATTCCGGTGGGCAGTTTATGCTGTTTTAGAGGAATGTAAATAAATCTGTGGCCAAGGACCAAGGGGCACAATTTATTCCTGGCCTGCATTTGGCCTGTTTGGCAGACGAGGCGCAGCAATCCATGGTTTAAAAGATTCGCTTACAGTTGGACAGAGGCAACGCTATGAGAGAGGATCGCTCAGTGGTTTAGGGACCTGGCTGTCGAGACAGAGGTTGGAAGTCTGATCCCCGCACGGTGGGCTGGGCTCCATGATCCATATAGTCCCTTCCAGCTCGGCAGTTCTCAGATGATGATGAGAAAACGGAGGAGGAGAAGGTTGCGCTGGTAGAGGCAGTTATTTGAAAAGAGGAGACCCACAACCCCTCTTCACAATTAGGCCAATGGACAGGGCAACACTGTCCCACCTCACTCCATGCCAACTTCTGCCATTGACTTCATTGTCATTAAAAAGACTTCCGCTGAAGTGGCAGTTCATTATGACAAAACATAGAAATCAAAATCCAAGAACCTCATTGCAACCTCACTCTTTAAGATCGAGCCTTACGGTGGATTTATGGCAGTCTAAATGGTGGCGCGCGCTCCAGCACTGGAGGTGTTCAGGAGAAAACAGGACAGCCATCATCTGCTTTGATATGGATTCCTTCACTGAGCAGAGGTTGGACCCGATGGCCTTATTGGCTCTTTCCAACTCGATTATTCTGTGATTTTTAACTGGCTAAATTGTGGCAGTTAATTGTTGCTAACTAAGCGGTTGTTGCTAATTATTAAGTTGTCACTGGTGTTCCTAGCTGTGCAGAATTTCTGGCACATGCAGAAATTCAGGCAACAGCTCATGAATTAGCAGCGATTCACTGCTCCAATTTAAACATTAATGCTTACGCTGGCTTAAATCCACTTCCCCTTCAGCTCTACTCAGGGACCACTGAAGGTGTTACTGCTGGGAAGGAGGAACAAAAGAGCGATAGGACCGGGAGAGGCTGATAGGAAGGTGACTTTTTTCTGTTTCCTTGGGAGTTTATGCGGGGAAGAGCAGAGGGTAGGACGGTGTTCTAGGATCACCTGGAAACACACAAATGCAAGTGTAGGTAATACCTTTAATCGACCACTAAGAATATAAACCAGTGACGTGGTGGCGCTGCGGGCTAAACCGCAGAAGCCTGTGCTGCAGGGTCAGAAGACCAAGCAGTCGTAAGATCGAATCCATGCAACGGAGTGAGCGCCTGTCGCTTGTCCCAGCTCTCGCCAACCTAGCGGTTCGAAAGCACACAAATGGAAGTAGATAAATAGGGACCACCTCGGTGGGAAGGTAACAGCGTTCTGTGTCTAAGTCGCACTGGCCATGTGACCACGGAAGATTGTCTTCGGACAAACGCTGGCTCTATGGCTTGGAAACGGGGATGAGCACCGCCCCCTAGAGTCGGACACGACTGGACAAAAATTGTCAAGGGGAACCTTTACCTTTACCTTTAAGAATATAAAACAAAAACAAACAAACAGCGAGCTTTAAATGATGCTTCTTCTTCTTCAAGGCTGTGCGTCAAGTTCTTGTGGGCAGTTCCAAACTTATGTGCTGTTTTTAATATCCCGAATTCACATGGCTGAGGGTGCCGAGGCCAGGCCAGGTTCTTCGATGGAAACCTCTGCAGCAGGCGTGTTGGTTTCAAGCTCTGCTTCAGCCAGCCGTTTGGAATTTGTGGCCCATCTCTTAAAACCGAGGACAGTCACAGGCAATCTGGGGCCCCCTCCTTCTCCCTTTCTGCCTTTTTGAAATTCAAAGAGTTTCTTTCTTTTATATTATGTTTATAGTGGCCACTTTGATTTGGATAAAGTCGGACAGGTTCATTTAGGTATAACGATACGTAAGTAGAAGTTACTGCATTTTTCTGTGTATAAGACTATTGTCTAAAATCTTTAGACTAAAAATTGAGGGCCGTCTTATACACAGAAATACGCTGAGGAAAGAACAAAAATAAGTGGAGGGGAAAGCAGGGATCAAAGTGATCCTGCAGCGCTTTGATCCCTTTCCCTCTTCACTTGCTAAGCCTCACTTAGATTTCTTAATTTTGGGTTAAGTGAGGGGCGTCTTATACATGGGGGTGTCTTATACAGGGAAAAATACAGTATTTTTTAAAATGATTTTAAGCAGAATTACATTGTCTGCCTTGCCTGAGTGGGGAAGATTGGGACCAGGTCAAACGGCTGCATCCTCTGCAGGAGGCAACTTCAAGGTCCATGGTTCCCCTCTAAACTTGGGACTTAGCATCTTAGCACTGCAGAGCTGGAACGGACCCTATGGATTATTGCGTCCAGCTCCTGTCAAGGAGGTCCAGTGGGGAATCGAACTCCCAACCTCTGGCTCCACAAGCAGAGATCTCAACCACTGAGCTATCTAGCAGCATAACCTCTTTCTCTGTAGATCAAACTTGGGTCGGAGAGCCCTCCAGGTGGAGGACCCTCCTGCCTAAGAGAGGAAGCCCTGTAGATTCTCCACTGCATCAGGTGTCTCAAATTCTCAACTTTTCCCTTTGCAGCCCTCACGAATACAAGTGGGAGAAAGAAGGCGCGGAGATGCTGCTGACAGAACCCCAAGTCCAGGACAACATCCTCACCTTCGCCAACTTGAACAAAAGCGACAGTGGGACCTACATCTGCTATGCCTCCAGCATCATGGGCATGTCCATAGCACGTTACAACCTGGCCGTGAATGGTACGCATCTGCGGGATGGTGGGCCCCTGTGTAGATTTTGGGGGAATCTCTCTATTTTTCCCAATTCCAACAGCAGTTTTAACCAAAGACGGCACCGTGTAGCGTTTTTGGGCAAAGCGCAGTTATTCTGCCCAGCGTGTGCTTCTCTGGATTTTGCAATTTATCCTGGAGGAAAAAAATCCCATGGAAATCTGGATATTTAACAGAAATAATCTTTGGGAAATCATCCTTTTAGGGCAATTGCTTGCATAGATGAGTATATTAGGGAGATTATATTGGGAAGATTGCTTTCAAATAGATACGGGCTGGGAAAAACATAAAGAAACATGTGTGCAAATTTCCGTACAAAGCCGATCAGGATTTTAGGAGATGGAGCTTGTCAGGAGGTCCTGATTGGCAGGAGTTATGAAAGGGAGGAGGAATGTGGGCACCCCATAGGGAGCCACCTGCCGAGATGTCTTAGCCAAGGATTTACAAGTTCACAACCTGGGTTTAAGGATGTGAAAAAGCTGTCAATCTTACTCACCATAGTGCCTTGACCGCCCAGAGCTTCATCTGGTTTCAGAAGCTAAGCAGGGTCAGGTCTGGTTAATGTTTGGATGGGAGACCCCCCCAGAGAATAACAAGGACCTCCAGGTAGGTCTAGAATTTTTTTTTTTACGGGGAAACCCTGGAGATCCATTGCTGCCATTCAGAGTTGACAACACTGGCATAGATGGATGAAAGGTCCGTCACTGTCAGACATTCCTGCGTTCTCATTGCTTTTCTCTAAATCCAGCCAATATTCCAGTTCCATTCCATATTTGTTAGACTTTTCATCTTGCACAAAAGTGAGTGCATATGGATGCATTCCCTCTAACATGCACAGCTCTTAATTTATATATCTTATATATAATTTCTTGCAGAACATTTTCATTCTGTACCGCTTTTCGTTTAAACCAAAAAGAAAGTCCCACTGCAGTTTGCAAGAGCAACTGATTCAGTCAAGCCAACAGTGAAAAAGAACACAAAATGGCATAATAATAAAAAGCATAAAAGCTAGAATCCTGTTGGTTCAATACCCCAGTGCAATTGCGATGACATAAATTGCTGCAGTAAATTAGTCGCTAATTAACAAGTTGCTAATTCCTTGGCAGCCTTGCCGCACACCGACCCACAAAGCAAAATAAAACTAGGGATTTATTAACTAGTGGCAATTTGTAATTTATTGCACTGCACTTACACTAAGGTAATTAATGAATAGGATTCTGGTCGTTATCTATTAAAGAATAATTCATTAATAGCTATGGTTACCATAACAACTGGGGAAATGTTCACGGGGATGTGTGAAGAAGTACATAAAGAAGAGGTAGATTGGAATTTGAAAGTCTATCTAATCTTAAATTTCAAAGGAAAATGCATTTTTCACTGATCAAACCATGTTTATTTTCATTTCCCCCCCCTCAAAGCCCATTGCCTGGCAGTCATGTGCCCCTCCAGAATGCTCTGGAATGTAGATTTCTGAGACAGGATGGCTTCTGCTCTTATCACATTCTCTTGAATGCGAACGGTATAAGCCGGAATATAAATACAAGGAGTCACATGGGTTTAAAGCCATTTGTAGTAGAATCCTGTAACAGCTAACTCAAAAGCTATTTACACAAAGCAAATTGAACTGACCGGTTAACTGATGACATATTTTTTTTGTAGCTCTAATTAGAAGGACCAGAATCTTACCGGTCATCTCAAACAGAGCAATCCGATCAAATCCATAAGATTTATGTAAGGATTGACTCGCCATATAACTTCTGATTCCATGCTTCTTGTCTTGTTGGACCTGGCCTTGGAAATTTTTTACCTATATCAGAAGCTCCCAACCTTGGGCCCCCAGATGTTCTTGGACTACAACTCCCAGAAATCCTGGCCAGCACAGCGAGTGGCAAAGGCTTCTGGGAGTTTTAGTCCAGGAACATCTGGCCTGCATGATTACAACCTCCCAGGGCCAGCTTTGCTTACATCCTGGTGTCTCATTTGGACGAAAACAACTGTATAGACTCAGTCAACTAACTGTTGAGAGAAAAAAGCTGGAGCTAGGGAAATGTGTACAGTGCTTGAAAAGAATTACACGATTCCCTCCTCGCCCACGGTTCTTTCACACTTCCTCCCAAAAGGTCAGCGTCTCAATCCTCTTGTGTTCCACCACCCACAACACAACTCCTATGTGCCTTGATTTTTGCTCCCTTTAAAAATGCTACCCCCCTTCCTTAGACTGCTGTGTGGTGATGGATAGAGCTGCCTCTGTTGAATTTCTGCTTGCTCAGCAGTGGTCTTGCTGGATGGCGAGTTCGAATTAGATTCCTCCCCCTGTTCCTCAGCTTCTGTTAAAAGTACAGGGCTCCGACAACAGCCAGCAGGGGGAATAGTTCAGCTGTCCACACGGGTTGTTATTTTTCTTCTTTTCTCTTCATTTTTTGTCCAGTTCTGTCACGTTGGCTTTGAGGCCTAAAGATAAACTAAGGAATCTGAACTGTCCAGTTCTGTCATGTTGGCTTTTTTGGCCTAAAGATAAACTAAGGAATCTGAACTGAAATGTTTGCCCACAAGACCTCTTTCCTCCTCTTTCTCTCTCAACAGATGCTAGTCCGGTACCGCATGCCGGGGGCGCCTACCACGCCATCATCGGGGGAGTGGTGGCTCTCATCGTTTTCCTCCTCCTCATCCTGCTCATCATCCTGGGACACTACCTGATCAGGCACAAAGGTAGGTCCCCTCCCGATATCCCCAGAGGTTCATCTAGCTTGTTTATTTTTCAGTGGCTCCACCCATTCTCTCTCACTGGACCGTCTCCCCTTAGTCCAATGGTTTCCAAACTGGAGTCCGAGCACAATCCCCCCCCCCCAAAAAATAACCAAATCACAAACCAGTTTGTTTTTTGGGGGGTTAACGAAAGCTCGTTGTTCATTGTTTGTGGGTAGCTGTGAACCATGAACCATCATGAACCATCTCTAGTTGACACAGTCCAGGAAAGTGCACATGCGCCACGCAGAGGGGGCATTTGCTGAGCACCAGCGAGTGCAAGTAAATGAAAAGTGCAGCACTAAAGCACAGAAGCAACTCAGCGCTATAGACCATCAGGACACAAGTCCCGATAAACCTTGGGAGCAAGTGATAAAAAAGGAAGGTTCAGGCACAAATACTGTATCTGGAAAAGCCCCAACTTAGCGGAGAACCATTTCCCATTGATGAAGAATCAAGGGGCACCAGCTACCCAGTGCCAGTCCCTGTCAAAACCCATGGCAGGAAGGA